TTGCGACGTGTTGTCATCAAGGATGTTGTGGTTGTCATGTGCATATGAGACTGAAAGTGAACACTATGGGTATGCTGTGCGTGCCTTATACGCCGTCCCCGTTCACAACACACGGAGGATCGTCTAGTCTAGCCAGCATAGTTATAAGGTTAGACGCAGGTGGCACTAATAAGAAGTACCACTTTAATGCGCAAGTGTTCTGTGGCTTCCTGCCTCCAAATACGTATATAAGAAACGGCGAATATGGCAGCTAAGGCACGCTGGTGATTCCCAGCTCACACTTCACGCATACCTGTGCTGCAGTGATGTCTTGTAATTCGATTCGACGACGAAAAAAACGACATGCATGAAACCCACTTTAAAGGTGCCAGTGTTTTTTTTTATTTTATTGTTTGTTATGCACTGCAGCATATGCAACGGTGCATATCTACGCGTCTGTCGTAGAAGGCAGTGAGAAATAAAAAAGTAGAAAAAAACACTTTTTACGCAGGTGCTTGACGAAATGAAAGGCACGCACTGTCTAAACAAAGATGGCCGTCGAGACTTTGGCTGATAAATTTTAGACCCGGAATCACGCTCGTCGCTCCGTGGATCGAACGTCTCGCACCTCCGCCGTCAACGCCTCACGCACGAACTTTGCGTCGTGCTATAAATCGTGCAATGCGAATTGAGCTGGCGACTATCGGTGTAAATTTTCTCTTCACATTCGCACGTCGACGCGGCCTATAGTATAAGACGTGCTTGGGCGAGTCGGTTCGTACGCGATGTGGAGCAAAGGGGCGTGAAAAAAAACGGGAACAAGAACAAGTGACGCGCATGCAGGACAGGCGCCTGACTCTTAACTGAAGTTTATTGTTGCAACATTCAAATTTTGACAGCAATCAGCAAGGGTGACCACAATAAGTGTGCGGGGGTGGGGGTGATGAAGGCATTCGCAGTGCCCCCCTCTTAGTTAGCTGGGTGGTTTGATCGCCTCCCCAACCTCCTTGCCGCCTGTGCGTACGCCTATGGTGACCACATACCTCACACAACCATCCGAAAACACACTATCGAGAACTTTCCGTAAACACCCCGTCGTGGCCTCGCACCAACGCAGACTCAGCAGTCTCCAAAGGCGATAGAAGGAAAAAAAACATACAGGATGCAGAGTGGGCGGAGATGAAGTGAAGAAACGAACTGACAGACATGGGCGCCAGCTTCCAACTGTTTAATCACAGAAACCACGCCGATTTATAAAGGCTGTTACACAAGGTAATACTATATCAGGAATAGTCACACGACAACTCAAATCATCATGAGTTACGAAAACAGCAGGAGCATGCGCCGGAAACTATATACGCTCAGTCGAACTGTAAAAAAAAAGAAGAGAGAAAAAGAAACACGCCAGGGCACATAAAATGTGTCAACCTTATAGTTTTCAGCGAAACTCACAGCGCACAATTTGAATGTAACATGATACAGGCATTTCTTTCAAAAATGCCACTTTTGTCATTTTTGGCTATGCTTCAAAAATGTCAAGTGTCTGTCAGTTCGTTTCTTCACTTCGTTTCCGTACTCTTTGCGCCTTGCCTATTTTTTGTTCTTGTTTAGGTATGAATCAACTAGCTTAGCAAACCCTGTTGATAGAAAGAGTCCGAGTTTATCGCACTATACTTCAGTCTCGCATTGAACTTGCTGTTAGTGGCACACACGCGAACATCACTAAAGCCGAAACATCGACTACCCATAAGAAAGCAAGTGCCGTCGATTCCAAACAAACCATTCAAGAAAACGGCCTAGTGACGTAGAAAAACGACATGGACCGCCACCTAACTGGCTTCTGAAAATTAGTGATCCGGGCCGTTTCGTAAGACTTTCCTCCATCTGTACCTTTTTCTCGCTTTCTTTTATTGGTAAAACGCCGCGCGACGAAGATTAGGGTGCTTTCGGTACACTGCAGTTATACGGCCCGCGTAACAGTTCGGAAATCCAGCCAGCTCCTCTACTTGCCTGACCGTAATAAGTCGCGAGATTTCGGCTCTGCAGACTGGTCTGGAGTGTTTTTTGAATGCCCGGGGACTACTCTTATCGCACGTACTACTCAGCAGCGCACCGGCACAGATTTTTTTTCGAAGCAACACGTAACAGCAGCATCGCCCAAACTTACATTCTTGTCTCGATCAATTCGACCGAAGTTTCCTCTCTACGCGCGCCATGAGCCGTTCCTGCATTCGGATGCAAACAGACACACGTTGTCGCGTGCGTGTGTTTGTACGCGCGAATCATCAAAGGGACGTGAAGGAAAGGCGTCGCTGGAGCTCGGGTGGTTTCTAAGTGACCAGGTCGATCTCTCTATCTCCGTATGTTTTCGTACGCGACGCGCGTCCCCTCAATTTTTTTCTTAGCATGCCGCTAGGCGGCGCCGCCGTACTTTATCGTTCGCTCAGCGCCCCCAGGCGTCGCGGCCTATAAGCTAGCTTTGTCCTTTTTTTTTATTTTTCCAGGTTCGTCGTTTATCTGGTCTCCGATCGGGAACGCGTTGAAGAGAGACGGAAGTTCTCTTATTTCTTTACCATGTTTTTTTTGTTTTTTTAATGCATCGTCTTACGCTGAAAGCCCGGACCGCCTTTATCTCCTTGTGATGGACCGGATTACATAAGTGTCCAAGACATCGCGAATTGCCGACCGGGGAGGTCCTGGCATGTATAAATACCGAAGCCGCTGCCCTAGATTTGTTTGCCTCGTGGATTCTACGCTGTTGCTGGTGTTTGCAGTATAGCAGGACCTGCTGGAGAAGCTTGATGTAAAAAAAAAAAAACTTAAAGATCTTTTGTGCAGTCTCTTGAAATGACCCGAAGATGAAAGCCATCATCATGATCACCACCTTCTTCTTTTTCTTCTTCTCCTTATCCTTGGAGCAGCACTAATAGACTCATACTAAGAAGATACAAACACACAAGACGAGCACTGAGCCGCAACTGAGAAATTTATTTGAAAAATACATCTAAAAAAATAAGAACAAGGAAAAACGTGTGCAAAATCGAAATGAGTTGTCTAGTCAATAACATAAGCGTTACGTCACAGAACACGGACGTGCTAAAAAAAGTAAACGCTTTTTTTCTGTCACTGACAATGACGAAAAAAGGCCCTGCGTGGTCTGAAGTCTGGACACATTCTCGTAACTGGAGTGCCTTGAGGGGGGCCAGGACCTCCAAGGGTCCAAACTTGCCAAGTGAAGTTTTCCTTGCCTTCCTTCCTTTTCAGTGACCGTGCTTACGAAGACGAGGTCTTCGTAACGGTATCTGAGTCTTGAAGAAGCAGCGCGAAATACTAAAGCAGATGAAAGTATAAAAGACGTGTACAAACAGTGCCACCTGGAAATTCCGAGCTCATCTATGAGTGGTCCACAAGTGAATGTGCTTGAAAGATACTCATTAGACCTTTCTATACCGTAAGAATAATGTGCCGAAATTACCATTTTCTGGCGGAATTTGTAGAGTTTATGTTTTTAATAAAACGGTATCATTATACTTCAATTCAGTTGGGTAACTCTGACTCGAAGGTGGCTTTGCCGCATCAATACGTTGCAAAATTGCTATAAAATGAAAACGATAGCCTAGACACAAACGGTCCAACAGCAACATGAGCCAGGGTGGCCATCATATAGACGGGCGCAAAGCCAGCCCATACATTGACTTAATAGAAGGGGGGGGGGGGGTGCGACAAACTCGCCCCCGTTTGCCTCCCCCCCCCCCTTGTAGGGGAACCCTGCGCAAGCCTGTGGTGGCCGTCTAGCGTGAAGAAGCAAATTTCCTTGCTTGGCCCATTTTCGTGGATGAGTACAGTCGTGATCGGTAATTTTGTTACGAAATCTCATGTTGACTACACTTTCCAACGACAGCTAAAAGTTTAAACATTTCACGTGTCTGAGTATAAAACGTTGGCGTCGAGCTTCCTGCCGGCTACTCCATTTATCGGTTTCCGAGCAGCCCATGTATGCTTTGTTGTCTCGTAGATTGCAAAAGAAACTTGAGCGTGCTTCAAGGAAACTCTTTCAGCAGCATGCCACTTTTTTGGAATTTCATCCTAATAGGTAGCACCGGGACTTCTTGAAATGACAAGCTTTTTGTACAGAGGGAATGCGTATGTACCGGCTCGTGTGGCGCCGGTGCTTTGTAACATTTGCCTGTGGTCCAGTGAGTCAGATTTGAATGAAGCTATTTAATCTAAAAGTTTTAACGTATTTCATTGTGCTGACGACGTCCTGGTGATTTTGAAGTCGACTTCCCAGCTGAGTTACTGTATTCGGCACATGGGCATCGCCATCTTGGACTGATAAGCTGCAGGCAAACAGGCAAAAAACTTTATTTGTTCCGGAGACGACTCTCACTCCCCCTTAAGGGGCGACATCGGCGGGCCGCACCCACTATGGGAGGGGGAGATGCATCTCCTCGGCCATGTCATGGGCTCTCTGGATAGCCCGTAGCTGGTCTTCCTTCGCGTTGCTTGTGAGAAGAGATCGCCAGTCCTCCTCCGTTGAGGGAGACCCGGAGCTCCGGCGCAGGGCGGGACATTGCCACAGCACGTGTTGCAAAGTGCAACGCGGGTTATCACAGAGAGGGCAGCCTGGCTGTATACCGTCCATATATTTGGAGCGCTTCGGGGGAGAAACGTACGCCTCAAGTCTGTAGTTGACGTAACGTGATAGACGGAGCTCTGTTTAAAGTTGGATGCGGGAGGGGGAACTTCCGCCGTTCCGATTGATAGTGCTTACAAATTTCTTGAAAAGCTATCGTTTTGCAGGTTTCTATGTCCTAACGTGAGATGACCATGGTCAAGGGACGTTGAATGTACCGGCTCCAGCATTTTTGTGCGTGCGAGTTCATCGTATCACTGTTTATTTGATATATGGAAGCGCTACATCATCAGTCCAAGATTGCGGATCTTGAGCGCGTTCGGAAAACGGTGCAAGCTCCTTCCCAGCATTCATCACCCGTTCGTACTTTTTTTTTTTCGTGCAGGCTCCGATGGCTTGAAAGAAAGCGCCCCCGGGGAAAGGCCATGGGCAACTCGCACTCGCAGGCCTCGGACGAGCGTCCGCGCGACTCCTCGGTGCTGTCCTCTTCGCGGGGCAGCAGCAGCGCCAACGGCGGCGTGCCCAACGCCAACGGCGGCCTGCGCGGCCACAAGCGGCTGGCCGGCAAGTTCGCCAGTCCCGGGAACCGGGTGCTGCCCCAGCCGGCGGTCGAGGGCGTGCGCCTGCTCAAGACCACGCAGAACGGCCACATCCTGCACAGCGGAGGCACCATCAGCGGTCGGCGCCTCATCAGCCAGAACTCGGATGTTCAGGTGATGGTGATGATGATGATGATGATGATGATGATGATGATGATGATGATGATGATGGGCAATAGCGCTAGGCTGCTGACCCGAAGGTCGCGGGTTTGATCCCGGCTGCTGCGGTCGAATTATTTCGAAGGCGGCAAAGTGGTATAGAGGCCCGCAGACTGTGCGATGTCAGGGCACCTTAAAGCATACCAGATGGTCTGAATTTCTGGGGACCTCCACTACGGAGTCTGTCAATCTTATCGTTTATTATTATTATTATTATTATTATTATTATTATTATTATTATTATTATTATTATTATTATTATTATTATTATTATTTATGATGATGACGATGACGCTAGGCTGAGCTCATTGCACGGGCGGGTAAATATGATCTGCCCTGTGGCCAAAGAATAGGTAAAATCAGAGAACGCACTCCCCAGAGGCACGCACGCACGCCAAGCATTATGAGTTCGCAGCATGGGGCTGGAAGAATGTTCTTCGCAGTTAGTGTGCACAACCTCGATCGTTGTTTCTTTTGGTGAACTTGTACCGTTGCGTCGTGTGCTACCACCATTTCAGCAGCCTTGCATTGATGTGCTATATGTCACACAGATTATGTACGGAAAGCGCCTTCTTTCGGCAACTGCACGTTGTTTAGAAATGTTTGTTCGGACAGATGTGAGAAATAACTTCATTGGGACGAGGAAGTTCACGTTTGTGTCTGTGTGACACGATGAGATTAGCGCTTTTCAAGTATAGATTATAGAAGTTCCATTGCTTGTATTGACCAGCCATGTTTGATCGTGGTATAAATAATGACAATGATAGTGCTTGACCTTTTCTTATCGCATGCTTTTACGCTGATGTTCCATCATCGAAAGCTGCGACGTAGCACACCCGTGTTTCGTGTGCTCTCCGCGCCGACAGATAGTATCAGAGGTAAAAATTACGTCCTTGCTTATTTTGTAAATGCCGTTGCTAGTAAGCAATAATATGGACTGTAATGACGAAATTGGCTGATTCAACATTTTTTTTTTCACAGTCTCCTAACCACTTCAGAACAGGCGCCCTTCTCATCATCCTGAAGTGATTCGATCTTGATTCCATCACCAACCAACAAAACAGCAAAAAAATTGTGTCTCTCGAAATTTTCATCTGAACTTGGCAACTTCCTTGTTTTCATTTTCTTATACATTCAGTCCAGTTGTATGTCTGGAAGATTAAGATACATTGTGCAGTGATGTTGTGTGCAGTGGACACAAAGCATCTAAAATGGGCTTGGAAGCTTCCACTGACGATCACATTCGGCATAAGACAGTTCAATAATGCTAAAAATTATACACAGCTAGTATAACGCAGTGCAACAGTGCACGATGGCAGCGCAAATATAAGAATGTACTGCCTAGCTAATTGCGTACTCCCACTATGACACGTTAAGAAAAGTGCAACATTTTGACAAAAGTGAGAACTTAGTCACCACATAGGAAGCGTTTTGTGAATAAATGATACGACACGCTGTGCTCAAATCTGCTCCCAAAGTAAACATAACGACATTTCCGCTTACATTTCTGTACAGGAGATGTTTCGTGCCATTCTGGATCCATTTGTTCTCACCCTCTCTTGCATTACCAACACTCGCAGGACAACCCCGATCTGCTGCGCATACTGCAACAACGGCGCTCGCTATCCGACGTCGAGCAGGCCGACGCTCCGGGACAGCTGCAGCCGGGACGACGGGCGCACAGCGACCCGGACATTGCGCGCAGTGTCGTGGACGACGAAGACGACGAGGACGAAGAGGACGAAGGTATGGATATAGATCGCAGTGGAGCTATTCTCGACAATCAGAAGTGATGATCACCAAATTTCGATGTTGTGTCCCTCCATTAAACTTTTATTGGTACAGGGCAGGTCTGACGATATCACCCCTTTGCCAATTCTGCGGAGAACTGGAAAATATCGCACATTACTTTTTGACACGTACAAGATATTCTCGTATCAGAACCTGGTTTCTAATTACTGCTTTTACAAAAATAGGCTTGACCTTATCGGAGGAAAATATTTTAAGCTTCGGTGCCTCATGCTTGGGATACTGCCACAAAAATGCCTTTTATGCCATCTGTAATTTCATTATAAATATCCAAAGAGTGCTATTTTAACCTGGTATTTAAAATTATTCGTCATTGCGTTAGGTTAAAACTTAAGTTTTCAAAAATATTCCCGTCAGGTTATTACGGCAGTCTGGAATACACGCTCAAAAGCATATTACTTGTATTTAAATTGAATATTTTTTGTATATTTGCCATTTCATTTCTTTATTTTTGTTTTTTAAATTTCATAGATTACCTAAAATAACATTTACCAGTCTCTACGTTTCATTCTTGGCCAATCTCCCAAAGTGGGTACGTGCCATGTATCTATGATAGCAAAGCAAAGCAAAGGTGGTCTGCTTCAGCGGCGCACAAGGCTGTAGGAGGATTTTTTTTTCCAATGAGAGCACTGGTCCGGTGTGCCACACCCTGGCAAGCCAGAAATGTTTTTCCATCAACAAAGAGGAAGAAAATTTTGCAGCTGGGCGAGTAGGTTCATAATATGAAGTATGGACCGACTAAGCCACAAGACCAAAAAAAACAAAAAACAAAAAAGAGCCACATACGTTCGCAGACACGAGACGGGCACCTCACCGTTGGCGTAGGCCTGCCATCGATTCGGAGCCTTTTCGCAGCCGCCGTTGCCTTTCCAGTTCTCTATTGTTCTCTCGTTGCACGCACTCGGAATGTTCGGCTCACCACGGTCGTTTCGCAGCCATTTGCTGGGATAACTGTTGCCTCCTTCCTTTTTTTAGTGGAAGTTTCGAGTGACGGGGCTTATCCAATTTCTGTGACACGTGTACCTATTTGTGATGATGGTGGCTTTTTTGTGATAGGCCACACAAATTACGGCTAGTCCAAACAGCTTCGCTCTTTAAATTTTAGGGGGAGGGTGGCGTGTTGCGCAATGAAGCAACAGCACATGAACGGGGCACTCGGTGCCACTCGGAACCGCTTGCAGGTAACGCTTATCGTCGATGCTAATTTTATGTTCACGCAGGCAGGCGTACGCACGCACGCTCGCTCACACACACGCACGCACACAAATAAAGGAACAATGCTCAAGGGATACCGCAATCGTCGTTAGGACTTGGAGCTTTTTTTTTTTTGTTTCAGAATGGGGAAGCTGCTGGCCTTCAAAGCTTCAAGGCAGGTGAAAACCCCGTACCAGTGCAGTTGTTCTGAAAGTGATGCCTAATGATTATTTATGAATGTGCTTCTAATGGGAACGGCGTTCCTTCCATATTTCGTGTAGGCTGCTCGCTGCGTGGTAACGCGGAGAAAATTATGGCGCATACGTGCACGGCACACTTATGTGACATTGTAGCCTAGTACGCTTAGAGCGGCTGATTTCTCAGCGATAGCCCGTGCTCGTTCAAGACATAAATGGCATACGTTACATTCAAGATATGAAAAATTCTTCAACAGGTGTTGTCGCTGGAGCTAAGGTTTCGACAAGTGGTCTTGTCGTCAATGCAACAACTTCTCTTGTTGCCTTTAAGAAGACAAGTATACACGCCGAAACGTTTTTTGTGGCTACACCGCCTGTTCGATACTATTTCATCTTTTCAAGTCTCCACTTCCTCCTGAACTGCTGCGGCCTTATATGATACACTAGTGTCACTAATGTATTCAATCCGAGGCTACTTGACTGTTCTCTGGATAGCTGAGAATTTTCGCCTATATGTTCTAGTTCAGTGAAACCTAATGAAACCTCATTTTTGTTTCAGGTATTACGGGGCGCAGCTTGATAGCTATCAGCCCGAGCAAGGCCAAGATCAAATCCAGGAAGAAGGCCAAGGCGCCTGACCCGCCTCAGCAACTGTCCAGCAGCCTTCCGAAGGACTCGGACAGGCCCCCGAGTGGTCGAGCCTCGGAAGAACCCGGAAAAAACGTCTTCTCCAAGTTTAAAGGACGCCGGGTTGAGGGCAAGTCGCCGGCACCAACGCCTCCTCCACCTCCACCGCCCCCGGACTACAACTCGGATGACAACGTCGTGTTCCGGCCCGGCAGTAGCTACGAGAAGAACCGGCGAAATGTCGAAAAGTGGAGACTCTCGAAAACGGAGCCAGCGAAGACAGAGGGCTCTGGTCAGAAGAAGACCACGTCTTCGAATGATGGCCCTGGAACCAAGGTAGAGCCCTCCGTGCTCGCCAAGGACTTCAAGGAGGAGCTCCTGGCTGTAGCGAGGCGCAGAGCTTCCAACGGCTTTGCCCGTAGGGTGGCGGAGGAGAACGGGCGTGGATCGAAAACGCCGCCAGCATGTAATGGTGACCTAAAAAGCCCGAAATCCACGCCCAAAAAGCAGTATTACTTTTCAAACTTCGACGCGCTCAAGCTCAAGGATGGTTCCGTACCCAATGGAAATGTCAAAAAGACAAAAGCTGACAAGGGTACTCCGAAACGGGAGAACGTGTCCTTGAATCCGCGTAGTCTGGCCGCAATCGACGACCATTCTCAGGGAGAATCTAAAGTTATCGAGTACATCTTGAATGATTCTAGCCGCTTGCAAGACCACTGTTTCGACGTGAGTCAGGATCCCGAGCATTACAACCATGGTAACCGAAAGGCAGAAAACAGACAGCGTAACAGCCATAGTCCCGTTCCAGCTTGGCCAAAGCATCAGTGGCCTCTGGATAACCTCAGTGCTGGCGGAACGTCTTCGGCCAAGTCATCTCTGTCCAGCAGCTCAGACCAGGACCTCAACGTTAACATCCAGCTGAGGCCCACCCTCCCCAGGAAGCAGATGGACATACCACGCTTTTCACCTACTGACGCGTGGAGGTCATTATGGGCTACGGACAGCCCGCAGGCGCGAAGAAGCGAGAGGTTGCGTTCAGAAGCAAGTACCGACGATGGTGACGTACTGGAAGACCAAATCAGGCGGGTCAGCCGCGTCATGGCTCCAAGGAGAGTGATGGCCGACCGCTGCGGCGACTCAGGGATCTCTCCCGACGCAGGTAGTCCGCTGTTCATCCACGACGCCATCGACGGCGCTCCTTTCGGTCCGGGACCCGGGAGGCGATCGGAGGGAGTAGGGAGGGCGTCGCCACTTGACGGAGCCCGAGACGACCATTGGGTGCCCAAAGAAGACCTTATGGACGACTCCGACTCCGGCAGCGTGGGCCCCACCACATCGGGACTGCAAGAGAAGCAACCGCATGGTATGCTTGGCCTTCAGGCCAAGTTCACCATGCCGGCTCACATGTTCCTCCCCTGGTCTACACCGTCGGCGACATTGAGGACGGAGGATTCTTCTGACCAGAGCAGCAGACCACGGGGACGGCTACGAAAGAATCCACGCATGATTACTCCTACCAGCGAGAACTTCAACAGCCTGCGTAACCTGCGCAAGGCGTTAGGTCTGCGAGGGCGGGACTACATAGGAGACCGGCAGAACGGTGGCATCGACTCTAACTGGTCTCTGAGCCGAAGCGCCCCCAATTCTCTCAACATAGTTGGAGACATTGACCTTCGCCGGTCTTCCGAAGAGTCCGCGACACCAGAAGCTGACGAGAAGCCGAAGGAGAGTCCTGTGTGGCGCGACAACTCCAAAAGCGAGTTGGCCCGCAGGACGTCTTCGTTCAGTTTTTCGCGGGAAGGTCACGTCATGTACCTGCCGGAATACGAGGTGCGTGCGGGCACTGGCTACAAACCGGCGACCAACAACAAAGGCAATAGCAGCAACCGCCCGTCTAGGTTCGACAATAAGAAAGTGAAAAAGTTTACGTACATGAGTACTGTCAGGAAGGAGGAACGGAAAAGACTGGAGGAACAGCTGGCGCAGGAGGTCGCAGAGAAGGAGAGGCTCCGTGAGAAGGAGATTCGCTGGATGAATCGCGTCGAGGAGGAATTCCGCAAGCAGAGGGACAAAGAGAAACTGGACATTCGGCACCAGCTGCGAATCCTCAACCTAGAGTCAAAGAAGGCCGAAAGCCAGCAGAACGGCGACTTAGTCAACGGAGACGAAGCACTCTGGAATGGTTCCGACCACCACAAGGACGTCTCGACCAACGTCGTAGGCAAGTGGGTGCGACGCCGTGACTCAGATCACCAGGTGAATGGGAACGGTGGAGCGGCAGACTCTCGGAATTTCAGTCCCCCGCGACCGGAACCGGAGGGTGGCCGCTCGTCGGGAGACGAATGCCGCAACTCACTGGAGAACTACAACCCGACCGCCGTGGTTCCCGAACCGGGCCGACATTCGGCGCCGGCCAAGAAACGAATTTACGACCAGATATCGCGCGTCATGCGCGGAGGTGGTGTGGACAATGGCGACAAGTGCAACGGTCACTCGGCCGACGACAGGCGGTCCCTCTCGCCGGCGTCGCAGGTTGGAGGTCGTCCTACGAGAAACCGCAGTTCGAGCCCCACCAGACGAAGGAGCTCTTCGTACGACGACCGCAAAGTAGACCACGCCATAAGCGTGTTCAAGAAGGAGGCGCTTCAAAGGACCAACAGTGGCAGAACGTACGAGTCGCACTCCAACTACATCTACAGCATTGCCCAGAAGAAGGTGTCAGACGTGCCAAAGGAGGGTCGGTACAGACCTCTCGAAGATTCAGACAGCATGAGCGACGAGTTTCAGCGGTCGAGGGCCGACTCGAGGCAGAGGCTGCCTTCCGGTGTTGATGTGGCGGTGAAGCGTGGTGGTGGTGCGAAACCACTGTTGACTGTTCAGCCTTTCGGTGCCAACAAGGGGTACCGGCCCGTGCCTTTTGGACTGAGGCAGCAGCATGAGGCGCGGCCGAACAGATAGGCGTAGGTGGGTATGAGTGCATATAAATTTCATGGCCTTCGCACGTGCTAATGAAGATCAGTGGTTGATGAGCTCGAATTTTTACTCTCAGTACTGAATCAAAAGAAAAGTGAGACTTAGATTTCGATCAATTGTCCACGAGCCAAGACAGAACGTCAGTTTGTTGTGCATAGCCCGTTCGTTTGCTGAGCTATGCTGTTAAGCCCGGAAAAAGTGGAAAGACTAAACACGCACGCTTCATGCTGGTGTAACAGCACAGCACAGAGAAAGAACAGTGTCATACCAACTAGTGCCCGTCGAAGCCTTATTGTGCATAGCTGTTCAGTGTAGCGCGCTCCTAAAACACAAAAGAAGCCCAAGAAAAAAATCTCATACGAACACGACAAGCATACTTGTGCTGTTTGTGTTTTCCTAGCAATATTTTCTTGTATGTCTTAACAGTGCACTGCAGTCAGTAGCTGTTCATGAACGTTAGGCCTGCGCTCATTTGTCTGAATCTGCCAGCAGTTCGCACACATTTCTTGGAATTCTCGTAGGATTCTGAGTATAGCAGTGTCGCACGGAGGAAGGGAGTGACTTCAAGTATTGTGAGTGTCCTACTTAACCCGGCCGTATCATATCTCCTTCACATGAGCTTCAAGTTCTGTTTGTGTGAAGAAAAACAGCAAAAACAAAATGGTGACTCCTATTTTACCGTTACTTTGTGCACCTAGACTGCTACACCTGTTTTCATTTTGCTGGCTCTTGTAGTTGTCTAATGTACGTCTACTTGCAAACAGGGAGATAAAGCAGCTACTGAACACTTGGAAAGCTAAACAAAAAACGTGAGCTTGAGCATGTTGGTATTCCATCTTAACGCATGTAGCACACAGAAAGGGCAGAAACACAAATGACAGAAAAGACAGGTGCCCACGTCATACATCTGTGTCCCTGCCCTTTCTTTGCTTCTTATGTGTTAAGGTAGAAAGGTGAATTGTATATCACTGGTCGACACCGCAAGTCTTTTAGTTGAAGAACATTCCTGTATCGTATATATTTGTGCAATTAAAGAGAAATTTCGGGGGGGGGGGGGGGGGGGAATGAGCAGTGCTTATTCCGGGAATATGATCAGGGATTCAAGGAGCTACTCGGAGAAACTCCATACTGCTGAAACTGCTTAAGTAGAAATGGCCCTCTCGTGGATAGACTCTGTGGAAAACTTTGTTCTGCGCAGTGCATACGTTTCGTGTATAGAATTTTCGCGCGAGCTAGATTGCCAATTTGTAATCATATTTTTATCTCCGCTGTTACAACAAATATCGCATATAACGAACTGCATTATGATCCTGATGCTCGTTAAAGAACCCCAGGTGGTCGAATTTCCGGAGCCCTCCACTACGGCGTCTCTCATAATCATAAGGTGGTTTTGGGACATTAAACCCCACAAATCAATCAATGATCCTGATGCTGCTGTGTTATGTCGTGGTTTGACTATTGTGCTATACGAGGTTTGATTATGAAGTGTTGAAGGTCCGGTTATTCAGTAGCTTTTTTGTTTGTTTGTTTGTTTGTTTGTTTGTTCGGTACCCCTACATGGTACCCTTACTGGTCATGTCATGCCAAACACGGAGGTTCTCAAAGCCAACAGGCATAGCACCTGGTTAATCTTTTATACAGAGGATATATCTGCAAATACCGAGTGATGACGCCTCTCTTTTTGACGCTGGATCTGTTACGGTATCTAGGACTGATAACTTGAATGGTCGAATCAATGTCTCTCCCTCTAAGAAATATAGTGTGAGACAGTAATGCGTTCCACCTCAAGGATTATTACTCAGATTTCTTCGCTACTTTCTTTCATTACATTCTACTATGATGGACACCTCTTTTTATGTTGTTTAGCGTAGTTTTCTTTTACCTATAGAAAGGAAGAAGAAAATAGATTTATTGAATTGGAACCACTTTTTTCTGGGTAACTTCCTTGCTGTCTTTTACTTTTCTCTCTATCTCTCCATATTCTTATGAACTGTTTATGTTGACTAGGATAGAGAGGTCTTATATCTACTTTACTTTATTCCTGTCTCTTTGCAGCAGTTGCCGGCTGCCCTAGTGTGTAAATGTTGAATTGGTGCCCGTGCATTGACTACTTCTGTCCTAGGTAAGCATTGCATCACTTATCACGTGACTTAGATGGCAGTGCGTGGCTAGTTGTGGAATACACTGGTAGCCTGAGTAAGCTAAAGGGTAGTAAGTTGGTTCAATACATGGTGCACTCTAATACCAGTCTTTAAGATAGAGAGCGAGAGAGAGCGAGAAATGTTAGGTCAGGGAGGTCAAGCAGAAGAAAATTTCTGGTTTGCATAAACATACTGGAAGAAACCTATAGTGGATCCACAGCCGCCATAGTTCTCCATAAAGAATTCCAATAAAGAAGGGTGTAAGGCAGGGAGACATGATCTCACCAGTGCTATTCACTGTGTGTTTACAGGAGGTTTTCGGGGCCCTAGAGTGTGAAGAATTAAGAATAAGAGTTAATGGAGAGTATCTTTGTAACCTGCGATTCGCTGATGACATTGCCTGAGTAACTCAGGAGACGAATCACAGTTCTTGATTACTGAACTGGACATGAGACATAAAAGAGTAGGACTGAAAATTAATATGCATAAAACTAGAATAATGTACGACAGTCTCGGTAGAAAACAGCGCTTTCTAAAAGGTGGAGAGACGCTGGAAATCGCAAAGTAATATGTCTACTTAGGACAGGTTGTAACCATGGAGCTGAACCATGAGAGTGAAACAACCAGAAGGATAAGGACGGGGTGGATCACATTCGGCAAGCATTCTCATATCATGAATGGTAATCTACGACCAACATTCAAAAGGAAGGTCTATGACAGTTGCATATAAATTGGGGACGACGCCGCGAGCGTTGAAAAGAAAAATTTTAGTTGTAACCTTAAAAGACACGAAGAGAGAGAGCAGAGTGGGTCAAGGAACAAACCGAAGTTAAGGATGTCATAGTTGGAATCAAGAAGAAAAAGTAGACATGGGCTGGGCACGTAGCACGTAGGCAGGAGAACCGCTGGTTATTAAGGGTGACTGACTGGATTCCCAGAAAAGGGGACACAATAATTAGGTTGGCCGATGAGATTGAAAATTTGCAGGTATTGAACGTGGCAGCAGAAAGCACAAGAACAGGTGGATTGGTGGATCATAAGAAGAGCCTTTGCCTTGCAGCGGGCGAATGACAGTCTAATGATGGTGATGATGATTACGATGATGATGATGACGACGATGACATCGCACAGTACAAAAAAAATTTCTGGCTATACGCCCACCTATTGTGTTGACCTCGAGTCGGTCAACAACTTCTAGTTCTTCGTCGTCATTGTGCCTGACAGGACAAAATTTCGTTGCACTGTTGACTGTAATATGTAAGTTGGTTCTTTATTTGACATGCATTTTGATTTTTTTTCTTTTTTTTTTCAGATGGAACTTCTAACACTGACATCTGAATTCGTGCTACTGCATTGCAAGAAGCGAGATGCAACGCACATCTAATCACTAAACTAAAAACAAGAGGCAATGAGATTTTAAGCAGCATTTCATTCTTGTTCGTCACCGACTGTGCATAGCGAGCAGGACAGTCGTGCACTAACCTCTCTAATGGTGCTGTAACTTTTTCGAATTGCATGTACATATTTCCCAAGACTTGGCGACGCATCTCAGGGTGCAATTATGAAAACGACACAAGTGCCTTACGAGGGGAGCCTGAAAGACGGCGTGCGCGATATTAAAAATATAAGAGAAAAATGAAATACGTTCACGTGAGCATACTCAGAGACGGTATTCTTTGTACACTTTGTTAATAAAATCTGTTCACGTCGTAAAATGTACGTCTTGCGCTGTCCTTGCTTAAAAGGGAACCAGGCACCGCAGCGACCAGCTGAGGGCATTCTGTCATCGAGTCCAAGTTGAGCGACGTTCCCGAGAACGAACATGTCATGACGTCACAGTGAGTATCGACGTGTGCATTTACCAAGAGATCACGGGCCTCAAACAACGAGAGTGCAACGTCCCCCCCCCCCACACACACACACACCTACCGTTTTTATTGGTCAAGAGAACAAAATTATCTCGTGAGTAGACGGAATCACGTTTTGCGCTGCAGTGCTCCCCACTGTGGAAGATAAATTTGATTACGTTGTCCTTGATGCAGCTCATCTTGCAATACTTTTTCATGTAATCAAATTAAATGGCTTCACTAACAGAGTACTTTGTAAATTGATATTGCGCGAAGCATACGAATGGAAGGTGACTGTGTTATTTTTCGAATACTTTCCGAATAATCAATACCGAAAGGAAAACCTTGAAGGAGCAACACGTATGAAATGTTAATGATAGTTTTTTTTCTTCTTTTTTATTATTAAGTAGACCTTTTTTAAATACACACAGTGCAAACTTCCACATGCCTCTGGTAGCTTTGCTCATGGCAGGGTGAAGGAATTTTATCTTTAAACTTGAGCGCCACTGACGTAAGTGTGTCCTAAATGTGCTATCGCTATTGGATCGTATCAGGTCCAAGATCACGAGTCACAAATCTTGGTTGAACTACGCGTGCCTTTCTTTACTGCCTACTAAGCCCGTCCCCCTTTCCCTCGTTTTGCTATAAAAGACTGACGACAATAAACACAGGCGTTCACTACTGTTCTTACATGCGTGTTAATATCATTGAACATGGGCTGGCTGATGTATGGTGTCATAAGTGCGGAACTGGAGCCTTACCTGCTCGACGACGAAGGAAGCACCGCAACGAGTGAGTGCCTACAGCACAGCCTTCAAAACAACGCACATCAAACCACCGGAGCCTCTGGGCCTCTCGACCAACATGGGAAGAACGTGGAAGCTTTTCCGGCAAAAATTTGATTTCCTTTTGACAGCCGCGGAGTGCACTGAAAATCCTAGGACAGAGGCAGCAAAAACGGCCCTTCGGCGTGGCTGGTGACGAGGTGTCTGAAGTGTACAACAACCTTACCTTCGATGAAGGCGGAAACAAGCCGGACTATGACACGGTACCGGCCAAGCTCGAGAAGTACTACGTCGAGCAAGACAACACAATTCACAAGTGCTACGCCTTCCGGTTTCGTCTACAGAGTAAAGATGAACCCTACGAACAGTTCCTCCGCGCGCCGAAGAGTCAGGCGCAGTTTTGCAAGTACGGAACGATGATGGACGAGATGGTACACGACTAAACTCGCCTAAGCTCCGGGAGAAGTTGCTCAGGCGCAAGGGCCTTGCGTTGGACAAAGCCGTGGCCTTGTGCAAGGCGGCGGAAACATCAGCATGGGAGAACTCGCTGTGGCGGAAGACTGAATGAGGGCTTCACGTCTTTGCAGCATCTTCGAGCCGAAACTTCAAGTGTTCCCGCTGCAGCCGGTCTCATGCCGCACGGTGCGGTCCAGCCTACGGGAAACTTGCTATTTGTGCAAGGGACGTAGCAATTTTGCGTCATGCTGCCAATGAAGTGAAGGCATCTGCGAGGTAAAGGACGAGATGAAGACGTCATGCCAAAACAATGACTGATGTTTCGGATGTCACCATCGGAAACATCAGCAGAGAACGAAACTGGATCATGAAAGCGAATATTGCAGGCAAGGACAGGGATCACAGGGTCACAAGCATGCTGCTGTCTTTTTTCCGGAAGATTCAAGCCTGTCCAATGAAAGCAAGTAACGCGGTTCTGTGATCGTATAATGGCGGCGTCATTACACAGCTCGGCACATTTTCGTCGCACGTCACCATCGGTGACCAGAGCTTCTACACAGACTTCTTAGTGATTCAGAAAGACCAGGTGCTGATCAAACGGAACCTTAATGCCGTAACAAGCAGCCCTTCTGTGACCATCGATGCATTTCCGCAGCTTTTTTAGAGAACATGCCGTGTACAGTGCGAGTACAGGATCACCCTTCGTGAGGGTGGCGTGCCCGTCATCCAGCCAGCCAGGCGAGTGCCTTCGGTGCTGCGAGAACCTCTGCGCGCTGAATGACAGCGGATGGAAGCAGAAGGCATCACACAAAAAGTCAGCCGCCTGACAAGTATGGTAAGCCGACTGGTCATCGTGCTTAAAAAGAACCGCAGGTTGCGGGCATGCATGGGCCCGGGAAAAATGAACGATTGCTTCAAGAGAGCACGTTGTCAGATGCCGTGCCGAGAAGGCATAGACGCATAGCTTACAGGAGCGAAGATGTTTTCTCGGCTTGACGACGCCGGATTCCACCAGATACCACTGGATGAGCAGTCTTCTTCCAAAATATGCACCTACGCCACTCCCTTTGGACGTTATCGGTTTCTTCGACTGCGTATCGTCATTCCGTCAGAAAGCACTCAACGAGATATTCGATGGTTTGCCTGGCAAGTATCGGCACTAGTGAGTGAAAAAACTATTTCAAGGCTTGATATTGAGACCGTACGTGACGTATACCTTCAGCAGGGGCTTCAAAAGCTTGCGAATGAGTGCACGCGCTGTCGTCGGTCCACTGAAGGTGGTTGCTTACGCACTCTTAGTGGTCAAAGGAATGCTTCCAAAAGAAACGAAGGTCGTATTGCCAAGTAGCAAGCAATTGGACCTATTAAACGTGTTCATGCAGGGAATATCAATCTCGGCATTGGAAAATGGAAGGCAGTTGGTATACACTGGCCCAATCTAAATTCTGATATAGAAAGACTAGCTCGCAAGTGTTCAGTATGCCAGACTTAGGCTTTATGCTTATAAGCAGCCACCCGAACCACTAATCATGCGTCTAACATCGACACAAGCGTGGTATCGCGTGGGAGTTTCAGTATGGTGGCCAGTATTAACCCTGTGCCTATGACTCAATGTCGAACTTCGTGGAAGTTGAATTCCTATCCAGCTCAACATCGAGTTCCGTGACGCAAAGACTGGGAGCCATATTTTCCCGTTATGGTATGCCAATTTAAGTTTGCACAGGCTATGGGCCCCAGTTCACCAGTAGCGAGTTCAGGCTATTCCCTCGGCAATTCGATTTCCAACGCATCACATCCAGTCCAGAGTACCCTCAAACGACCTTGCCGAGAAAAGTGTACAGATAACTAAGCGCATCTTGAAAAAGACTAGCGGCGAATCAATACTTTTGGCCTGGCATCCTGAATTACAGAACAAGTCCACTGGGTGATAGGTGATAAGCAGCGGAGCTTCTGCAATGAGGACGCCTGCGGAACCCCATACCGGACTTCGGCGCGTCAGTGTTCCCACGTGAGTATAGAAGCACAGGCAGAGCAACCACAACAGACGTGCACTTCCCGGCCTCAGAATCAACGACGCCGTTCGCATAAGGGGAGAGACATAGATGACAAAAGTCAAGCTTCTTGCATCAGCGCTGCCTCGCTCCCTCCATATGGAAACAGAACACCGGAACATCCTGCGCCCCGATCGACGGTACCTGCTGGCAACGAGCGAGCCTTTTGAGGACACCTCCGACGAAGAAAATTACGGCGAAAAGCAGGTACCTTCCTCTGTAGAATATCCCACGTTCTGCTCGTCGACGGTAGTGCCACGTTGTCAGCAACCACCTTTGCAGCCAATTCTACCGCAGCGAAGGTCACAGCGTCAAACATGCCGTCCGGAAAGTCTTGGATACGATTAAAGCTCTCGGCAGATAAGTAAGCGACATGGAAGGGGAAGATGCATTGTATCAGGCCGAAGACCGCAAGCCACCTATCTTGGCCGAACTATGCGTGCCTTTCTTTACTCTCTACTAAACCCATCCCCCTATCTCTCGTTTTGATATAAAAACTGACGAAATTGAACGCAGGCTTTCACTACTGTCCTGACATGCGCGTTGGTTTCATTGGACGTGGCCCGGCTGATACAATTATGAAATTCATAATGTTAATCCATGAAACATTAACTTTCAGGCCTTAAAATTACTTAAAAGCTGCTGAAACACTACCATGTGCTGATGTAACTTCTGAATTCCTCCCCCAGTTAAAAATCGCCTCGAATGCTCTAGTCGCTGCTCTGTATGAGCTGCCCTCAGTTTACATAACTTCAGTATGAGGTTGTCAATTAACTTTAACGATAATGCAACTTAGTTACACTTTGGGGACATTTGTTTGAATTAAAACAGTTGTATAGTTCTAATGCTACTTTTAAAAGGGCAAAGTAGGACTTACAGATGGGATATTTGATAAACACGCTTTTTTTTAAATGCATCGTTGCTTTGCTATTCGAAAACAATTCGAATGGAATCGTATTTGATTCGGTATGACCACTGTTTGATAAGAATTTGACTCGGTTCACACTTACTATTCGCACACCATGCAGTACCTGCAAATATGCTCATCATAACACTAGGGAGCTTTGGAGAGGCCTATACTCGAGCAATTAAACACATGAAGCGCCAAACGCAGGAGGCACAACAGGGACACTCATGTGCGTGATAAAATTAAGCAAGACTTGAATGGGGTACAATATTTTGTGTTATATGCATATTCCAGTGGCGTATTCAGGGGAGGGGGGGTCAAACCCCTCCCAAAATTTTTCTATTTTGCATGCGTATATGTACGCACAGACATACAAACGCACACATGAACATACGCAGACTATGGTTCCCCCCCCCCCTCCACCCACCCCTCTACGAAAAAGTACTCTGGCTACGTCCCTGATACTGTAGAAGGATTAAAAGCTGGCGAATTGGTCGACAGAAGAATTATAGTTCACTCAAACTCATTAAAAAATATTTTCTCTCAGGGCTCATTCGGACTCTGACTCGCCAAAATTTTCCTCAGCGGGACTCGCTCATACTCGGATTTACAAAACTTCTCATTCGGACTGACTAAGGCTTACACTCACCGACGTATTACACAGCTGGACT